ACACATTCAAAAAAATCATTCAGATGGATAATGGAAGAGCATCCCAGCCCTCTCAGTTGTGAGCAGTCATACTGACATAAATTTAGTTGATCAGGATGCATTACATTTTGTTTTTAATTAGAAAACCATAACTGAAATGTATATTTGTAATTTTATGGGGATATTCAATATATTTTGTAGATGAGAGTGTCTTAGAACTGTGAATTTCAAGATGTTCACCTACATTTTGCTAAATAATACATTATCTTAAATTAATGACTAATTTTTTGAATGAAACATTTTGTTGCGCATATTGTATTTTCCTTCTGAAATTGTACCATTTGAATCTGCTTTAGATGTTGCCTATATTATTGCATTGCTTGTCCATGAGACACCAAAGCTTTGTTAGGATTCAGTAGGTGCCCAAATGGCCTGACTCAAAAGGATAACTGTCACCAATATCAGGGGTATATGACCCAAATCATTTTCAGTCAGATTCATCATAGCAATTAAGTTGTTCACAGTATTACAATCGTCTAAGAAGGCTGGGTTTCAGGGGATATGAAAACCAAGATTTAATAAAAAAAAAAAAAAGCGTGTCATTGGTGAACATGCTTTTTTAAGTTTACCTTAATCTCTGTTGTTGCCTCTAGCAGAGCAGTCAGTCCATCTGTCAGCATGAGCACAGGAAGATCAATGATACAGTGCTGCTTTCATTATGAGCATCAGTGGAAATCCCAATGGAGTTTAACCTCCCAGTGGGTTCTCACTCCCAGCATCTCACAAGAAGCTCAGCTCTGGTTTAAAATACTTACTGAGTTGATGTTTGTAAGCAACTCTGTGGTGATAAATATAAAGTCTATACAGCTATGAAACAAACTTTGTGAATAAAAACTTATACTGATATGAAGGGCATTTAAGGTAGCCTTTCTGCTGTTATTCAAATTGTTAGTTGAGGTCAGTCTTATAGGTCTATGAACATTTTTCTAGAGTCAGTTTTCTCTTCAACCTATAATGGCTCCCTCTATTATGGTCTCTCTGTCTCTCTCTCTCTCTCTCTGTCTCTCTCTCTCTCTCCTTTTCTTCTCTTCTCTTGTTTATTCATTCCCTGACTCAATCTTCCTGGTTCCCACATGTTCTCCTCTCCTCCCCTTCTTTTTCTCCTATCTCCCTCTCCACTCACCACCCAACCACACACACACTCACTCAATATGCTCAGGGGATCTTGTTCCTTATCCCCTTCTGTGAGGGACCTTGTATAAATCTCTTAGGTTCCTCCTTGTATCCTAGTTTCTTGGGTCAAAGAAGAAATAAAGAAAGTCCTTCAAATTACAAAATAGTTAATGCTTTAAAACTCATTTTACTCTAAGATTTGAGTTAAAGCTCGTTTCTCTCTTGTTTTTTGTTTCTCAGAACTGATGTTTCTTTTAACTAGATGTTGTTAGATTAGACAATTCTTTCTGTTAACACTGAATATATTCAATTGTACCTTTCAAACTTATTCATAAATACTGAATGGAATTGGGCTACTGTTGACAAAATTAATTATTAAGTTTAACATTTTTTATAATGACTAAATTATAAAAATGAAAACACCAAGCAAGAATTAGTATGCATCTATTAATCAACATATAAGTATCAAAATAAAATTTACTTAACTATATTTGATGGGAGATGTCATTCTGTAAATATATTTCTCTTATTGGTTAATGAATAAAGCACTGTTGGCCAATAGGAAAGGAAGATAGGAGGGACTAGGAAACAAGGAGGAAAGAGGAAGAAGTAGGGAGCTCCAGGATGGAGGACAGAGAGAAAAGAATGCCAGCCCCTTTCTCTGGTAAGATGAGACCACGTGGAAGTCCTTAGATTAATAGAAATGGGTTAATAATTAAGACAGAGCCAGCCCATAAGAAAGTAGTAACTGGCCTACAGAATTATATCTAATACAGTGTCTCTTTGGTGCTGGCGCAAAACATACTCTTAACATGTGATGCTGCAATGTGGCTAATAAGAACTTCCATTTAAAACTTAACAGAAGCTTTAAAAAAAAAAGGGGGGGGTGTTTAGAAACCAAAAAAAAAAAAAAAAAAAAAAAAAACAGAGAAAAGCAAGGCTCCTTGCTAACAGCATTTTTCTCAGTTGGACTCTGTTTTGCTAGATTCAAGCAGAAATTTTTGTGGCTCCTTAGATTAATGGGTTAATATTAAAGGCAGAGCTAGCCGATAAGAAACTAGTAACTGACCTACAGCTTTATATCAAATAGAGCGTCTCTGTGTATTATGTGTGTATTATGTGTGGCTGTTGTGGCTCTGGGCCCAGATTGGCTGGAAAAAACCTTAGTCCTAACATATATTATTTAAAATATGTTATTTAAAATGATAAAAAGATACTTTTGAAAGTTTAATGGGTCACTAGGAAGTGTAGTCTCTTAGCAGCTATAAAGTCTAGAACACAAAATGAAAGAGGAACATGAATAAAAATAGTCATGAAGGACATTTATTATAAATACTGAGATATATTTTCTAGGTGCCATTTCTTGGACTGAAGTTTAATTTATTTTCTCATCATCTATCCTTAATGTTCTTATACAGATAAAATACAGCCATCAAGCCCAAATAAACTACTCTCATTTATTTTTCCCTGTTTTACTCATGTTTTTCATAACATAGTTTGATAAAATTCTTTACCCTCTTCCAAATAGTTATAAATCACCCTCCACTTAGATACCGACTTAACTTCATGTTCTTACTCTGACTTGTTCTGTTTCTTTTAAATAAAAAACAAAAACAAAATCAAAACAAATAAAATCCAAAAATCAAAACATCAAAAATAAAATGAAAAATATCAAAGGAAAACAGAATTCCACCCCAGTACCCAAACTCAAAAACATGGACTCGGATATTGTTCATCAACTACCTCTGGCTATGAAACCTGTCCTGCAGTGTGGTTGATGTACCCTGTGACATTCCATCAGAGAAAACAGATTTTTTTATGCAGGTAACAATTGCAAATAGTTTCTTGATTAGGAATGGAACTTCATGGCCCTTCTTCAAAATTGAATGATCGATGTTGCAAAGGAAAAAGAAAGCTTATGAGCTAGAGATATTGTACTACTCTAAGAAATAATTTCTTCTAAATACAAGAGGAAAATACATAGAGGAACTCATAGAAATCATTCCTGCTTCTAAATCAGTCCTTATGTTGAATAAACTCTATTTAAAGTGATATATACAAATACATACATACATACATATGTACATACATACATACTGATACCTAGCATTAGGGTCTTCAGAAAAGCAAAGCCATCCAGTAATTGTCATGGTTTCAGTTTAATCTAGTTCTTATCAGTAGATGGAATACAACACAAATCAATGAATTTCTCATCGAATGGAATATCTGCAGTGAACTTAATAAAAGTGTCAAAGGAGAGAAGAGAGACCACAAAAAATGGAGTCATTATAGGTTTCAAGAGAAAACTGACTCTACTCTAGAGAAATGTCTAGAAACCTACAAGGATGTTCCCAACTAATAATTTGAGCAACAGTGGAAAGGCTACCATAAATGCCCTTCCCTGATAATGAGATTAACGACTAACTTATCCACCATCATGGAGCCCACATCTAGTACTGTTGGAAACAGAAGCAGACACCCACAGCTAAACACTGAGCCAAACTGGAATCCAGATACAGAGAGGGAGGACAAGACCAGTCTGCAGAAATATGTAGAAACATATTGAACAAGAAGGAGCTAATGGGCCCCTGGACTGATAGCTGGGAATCCAGCATGGGACTGACTCAGACCCCCTGAACATGGGTATCAGCTGGAAGGCCTGAGCAGTCTAAGGGACCTTGGACAGTGGAACCAGGATGTATCCCTGGTGAACAAAAGGACTTTGGGAGCACATCCCCCATAGAAGGATACTCCCTTAACCTAGATACAGGAAAGAAGTACTAGTCCTTACTCCAAATGACAACAAAAAAGTACTAGTCCTTACTCCAAATGACAAACAAACAAACAAAAAAAAGTGTCAAAGGAGAATGACTTCATAAAAGCACAATCAGGACAGTAGCTTTCTTCACCTTGGACACATGTTAGACCTCTCTCTCTCTCTCTCTCTCTCTCTCTCTCTCTCTCTCTCTCTCTTTCTCTTTCTGTGTGTGTATTGTGATATAATATATAAGGTTATATAACCTTATATATTATATAAATAGTATTCAATATAAGATTATAGTAAGATGAATTTGGAGAAAACTTGAAGATTTCTGAACATTTATTACAAGTCAGAGATTACTTGCATAGTCTTACTCTTGTTCTCCTATCTGGGCTGATCTTCCCTTTCTTTTGGAAGTATACTATTGCAAATTTGGCTCATGGTGGTTTCTCATCTACAATCAATTGTAGTACCTATTGTGCTCTTGGCCTATTTGTGAGGAAAAAAATCTGGACCTAGGGGAAGGACTTACAATATTAAGGAACATGTCTGACAAGAAGCCCTTGGTGCTCTGAAACAGGAGGAAATGAAAGAAAAATATATAAAGAAAAACTAGCATGAATGCATACTTAACAAAAATGTAGAGACTCACTTAAGTAATGCTTATTGGAGCACTCAAGCCTTTTCCTTCCTTGATCTTGACTGTTCTTGATCACATACAGTTTTCAGAAAGAAAGAAATTGTTTGTTGACCCACATAGTCATGGTTGTGCATGTATCCATTAAATAACTGCAGTTCCTTAGTGAAGATTGTAGTAGAATTGGCCTCCTACAAGGAAGATCAAGAAGTGGGGTGTTCTAGAAATTTTAACAAAGCTGATTTTCTTTTAATTAAGTCATTTGCTTGTAATTCTTTAAGAAATCACTGAATTCTGCTTTTTCTACTTCTTGGAGACTGATGCTTGCTTTCATAAATGCAGGTGGAGTACCTGAAATTTAGCTCAGGAAGATTTCTTTTAAACTATAATGCACTACCACTACTGTCTAGGATATCTGTTGTTGAAAGATGCCTAGGACCAGTGAGTTACTCACAAAAAGTCTGCAAATTTCTGAAGCAAGTTCGCTGATGCCCTTAGACAATATGATGACATCATCAAAATATTCATTGAGGGACATCTTGCCACTGCTAAATCCACTGGTATCCATGGTTGCAGAGGCCACCTTCCCTCACAAGAAAAGGCTTGACCCCAATAACATCAGGAGAATCCCTGCTGTACAGAAACATAGGCTATCCTGAGATCCATATTTCTGAGATTATCAACACTTACAAAAACACCTTTATAAACTCAGTCCACTCTCCTCCATATTACAGCTCTATCCTACTCTTCTGTGTTAAGAAACAGCCAAATTATACAGTTCAAAATTATAATTTTTATCCCTACATTTACTCTGGCACATAATTGGAGAAGTTGATGTGGCAAGAGTTTTGATTGGCTATTAGAAACAATACTGAAGTGTTTTAAACACTTTAGCCTAAGTTAATTCTAAGTGAGCATTTTCAAAACGTTCACAACTGATGATTTAATTTTTGGAATTTGTGCTGGTTTTCAGTGTCTGATTCTCCAAGTCTTTGTCTCTACCTCAGCATGCAGTGTTTGCATATTGGCAAGGACAGTACACTTTATCTGTTTCTTGTATCTTCATGCCTGATAATAGTAAACACATGATATCTAATTAATGGTTTTTAACAATAAGAATGATAAGGATTCAGTCATGAAAGCATACTATATGCTGGTTTTGCTAACTCACAATAAATCCTTGCAGTATTATTTTACAAAAGACAGGCTGTTTTTCCTATGAAGTTTAATTTTACAATAACATGGGAATACATTGGGCCTATGTAATATTACCAAACTGTACTGATGAGAGTCTTACAAAGTTATGTGATTTTTTTTTTTTGTATTGCTAAGCCCTATTAATAGATGCTGAAAGGGGGAAAGCCAACACTATGGACTTTCTCTTCCACATGGAACTTTACCTTTGATCACATTGGCACAGAAACCCTAGTGATCTTCATTTTATCTACATTTCTTTCTCTGTAGAAGTATTATGTTTACATTTTTGAGAATGACCTCTGCTGAATTCCTCCATAATTTGCTGAATCAATAAAAAGTCAGTGTGGAGTCTCTAACATAGCAATAGGTACACTATCAACATAAATAAACTAGATATAGACATCAAGTTAATATTACTTTGCTGGGCATTGGTGGTGCATGCCTTTAATCCTGGCCCTTGGGGGGTAGAAGAAATTGGACCTCTGTGAATTCCAGGCCAGCCTGGTCTACTGGGAGCATTCTAGGACAGGCTCCAAAGCAATACAGAGAAACCAAGTCTCTAATAACCATATATATAAATATATATGACTAAAGAATACCTAAACTCACTCTCTGGGCAATGGTGGCACACAACTACGCAACTTTAATCCAAGCACTTGTGAGGCAGAGGCAGGCAGATCTCTGTGAGTTTAAGGCAAACCTGATCTAGAGAGTGAGTTCCAGGACAGCCAGGGCTGTTATAAAAAAAAAAAAACCCTGTCTAAAAAAATGAATAAATAAAAAAGAATACCTAAACTCAAATAATCAAAAGTAAGTGGATCTAAGCATTTTACTCTGTGCAATTTTTCTAAAGGGTTCTGAAGAATTTCTATAATCTAACATGAAGTGAAGGAAACAATACCTTCGTTCTCTAGTTCATGAAATTCATTCATTCCTTTTTTCTGTGATGGTCACCTACAGAAATTTAGTACCAACAACTGTTAATAAATATATTGATGTCTTTTAAATACTCCATAAGGCCTGATTTGTCAAAAGTGTAAGAAATGCATCTGCTATCACTGTCTAGGCTATCACACAGTAAGTATTGAAGGTTAAATCAAATGGTAAAACTCATGCTTAAGATGCAAGAAACTAGAAAATATTTCCTTCTTTCTGAATTGTGACAATTTGAACACACTAATTCTTGTATTCTCAGTAAATTACCATTTCAGAATCACAGCAAAAGCAACCTTTGAACTCTATTTTCTGGAAATTGTCAAGATATTGAGATTTCTAAGCAGCCCTTGGTTTCTACCCATTAGATTGTCTTTTCTCTTGTGTGCTTTAGAGTGCATGGGTATTTATAAGTGCACTCACATGTGTACAGGTATGTATACAAGGCAGACAACAACTTCAGGAATTATTATTTAATATCAGCCACACTTCTGATTTATAATTGCTGAGATGAGTGCTCTTCTGGGACTTCCTATATTGACTGTGCTGGCTGCTCAGGCCAGACTTAAGAACAACCAGCCTCTACTGTCCCAGCAGAGAGATTACAAACTATTACATCTAGCTTTAACTGTACTATTTCTTCCATCACTTCGAGTAATAGAAGGATTCCTAATTAATTATTGCTCTTGACATAAATGAAAGGTTTCTCAATGTTTGAAAACCTCTCTCTTGTTAATAGTGTATGGCATAACCCTATGAAGAGTCTTCCCAGAGAGTAAAATTTCTCCTAAACCTGGTCCTGTGTAACTTGAACAAAAATAAACGTCTTAATACATCAGCGCACCAGTGAGAGTTTACTTACAGAAGAACTTTTACTCAATGACATCTGTATCTCAGCAAAGTTCAGCACCGTACGCAGGCCACTGAAGAAGTGTGCTGTGCTACAGTCCTGATTTCTGTTTATTTTATACCTCCTATACATTCTAGCAGATTGCCACAAGGCCACTCACAGCTATAACAGGAAGGAAAAAAGTTTTAAAATCCTGGGTATTTTTCCAATGACTCTTCTAGAAATGTTAGTAGTGTTGTTGCTGTTATCACAGAATCATTGCATCTCTGTGTATCTCTGTGTATCAATTTAGAGCTCTCCAAAGCCAAGGTCATTACATGACCACTGATGGACACATCAGACCAGGTGTAAATTTCTGTATGCTATCATATCTTGCATTTTTTTCAGTAAAAGTTTATAAATTTCAGGCCTCTTTGAAATGGTGACATATTTATATGCTTTTTTACTCAATATTGAGCCAATATTTCCCAACATTCACCAAGTTTTTTTTTCAGCAATTTAACTAACCATTATTCCTGTAAGTAGAACTTCCATGTCACAATGGTTGCAGTGGACACTCCTTGCTGTGCCTGCTCCTGGCATTAGAATGTAACAGAGGTCTCTCATTGGTGTCATCTCTGCCCAAGAAGACCCTTTAGTGTCTTTGGATCTGTGAAACAAGTATAATGGAAGATTTCATTTCAACCCCAGTCTGATTTTTCCTCAACATGGAATAAAACAATGAAATGTCTTTTAGAAAATTATTCCAAACATTTTTTTCCAAAAGTGTCCAGTTGTAGTCTCAACAGCCTGGATGGTGTAAGAAAAATTAGAAACCTTGTTGTCCACTAAGTCATAGTAAAATGTCCATCCATGTTGACTTAAGATCGGAGAGTTCAAAGCTGTTCTTGATCCTCAAGGCCAGGTAACAGGATGTTTGATCTAAGGTATGATTACTAGATGTTTTACTTTTCAAGGCCAAATGGCAAGATGTTTAGCAAAGGGTGTGGTTACTGGATGCTTTGAGAATTAAGGAAGTAGTTACACTTGTCTGTTCCTTGTATCATGGTAAGAAAGTCTTTTGCCCTCCACCTTTGCTTTGGGTATAAAACTGCATTGTTAAATAAACCTCAGAACTGTGAGCCCTCCTGACTCTACCTTCTGTCTCTTGTCTATTTCTTTTCTCAATCCTCACTTCCCCAATCAGGCATGTTCACACAGGTCAGATAGTTTCCAACAGTGAGGTAACACATGCCAGGCAGTGTCATATTATCAATAAACTTAAAACTGTTAGGAATGCTTTTACCCCATGCCAATATAAAACATTTTACTCATTCTTTTAACAGCTATATTTAGTTGGTAATCTGCCAGTTTTCTGATACATTGCTAAATTATTAAAACCCATAGAGGTCACCTACTTCATGGAAGTGTAGAACTGCATCTGAAATTTTCATCTAGTGCATGTTAAACAAAATCCTCATGATTCTTATTTCAATGATTTCCTATAGAGCAATGGTCCTCAACCTTCCTAATGATGTGATACTTTAATACAGTCCCTCATGTTGTAGTGAGCCCCCAAACATAAAATTATTTTCATAATTATAATTTTAGTACTTTTATGATTTTTTAGATATAAATCTGTTGGCCAGTTACTAGCATTTCTTATTGACTAGCTCTGTCTTAAATATTAACCCATTTCTGTTAATCTAAGTGTTTCCACATGGTCTTATCTTACCAGAGAGACAGTCCTGACCTTCTTCTCCAGTCCCTACATCTTGACTCTCCTACTATATCTCCCAGAATCCTCCTTATCTCCTAATCCCAATTATCTTGCCTTCCTATTTGCCAACAGTGCTTTATTCATTAATCAATAAGAGAAACATATTTACAGAAAGACATCACCCATTTCACATACATACAGAGTGCAGCTATTGGATACATTGATGACTTAGGAAGATATTAAGGGACTGGTAATAAAGCAAGCATGGTATGGTGATATATTATTTATGACTTATTAAAGTTTGTCTGAGAATTCAGAAAGCAAAGTCAGTAGAGTGTGATTCTACTATGAATCTTTATGTAAATATCTCTGTTTTACAATGGTCTTAGGTTACCCCAGTGAAAGGAACATTTGACCTTCCCTAAAAAGGTTATGGCCCACAGGTTGAGAACCACAGCTCTGAAACAGAAAACTTACTTATAGTATAATGGATGTCATGTAACCTACAATCTTTTTTTTCATGAGCTGTTTGCTATAGCAGATGTTTTGCCATGGCTTCACCAACCTTGCTAGCTGTAGGTCATCCATGACTCAGTCAGTTGTCCACTTACAGCTTTTGGTTATCCCTGTGTAAAGGAAGAAATGCTTTTTGAAATGTCCTGGAGTTGGGTGAGAAACTTGTTTCCAACAGATAAATTTATGGGAAAACAGATGATTGCCCAATATATCACAATTTCAGAGAAAGGTTTACAAAAGTTTATAAACAGTTGCTACACTGAACACCTCCATGCAGCTTTCCTATGCTTAGGACAGAACTAAATGTAATATACCCTTTGAGGAAGAGATCATTATCCACACTTACGATGAGATCAAGCTTATTCATCTTCAC